AAAGAACTGAATAGAAACCCTCAACAGAATACAAACCAGGCCCTTTGCCAAATATGAACCATAATTATACTGATTTATCGAGGATGCCATAATTGCCATCTTTACTTATTAGTGGAGCTATTCATATTGATTAAATTTTCAAAGTATCCCAGAAATTGCACAAGAAACATAGTTTCAGTCTTTTAAGACTTTATATCCCAGACATGTGCTACCCAATATGGTAGTCATTGTGCACATGTGACTATTTAAGTCAATTAAATTGAAATGTTATTGAGATTTTTAGTTCCCCTCTCACACCACCCACATTTCAACAGCTCAAAAGCCATATCTGGCTAACAGTTATCAAACTGGACAAAACAGATATATGTAATTTACATCACTGAAGAAAGTTATATTGACCAATCAGCCTCTTGTAGAAGACTGGCATATATATGCTATAACAAATATTATTAAATAATGTAATTGATGCAGTAGTATTTTTACCTGTCATATTTCTTTTATTTTGATTACAGAATGTAGGTAACTTATCAGAAATTCAAAAAAATTCTGTAATCATTCAACTATCTTGATATGAATCAACTGATTATTTCTATCTCAAATAAAAAAGATAAAGCCCAGCATATGATAGGTATTAAGCAGATATCTGGAATGAATAAAATCATAAATGGGTAAGTATTTTGTGTTTATAAAGAGTTATTATGGAGCTCATTGTTTTTTGCCATTGATGGGATGTAGACCACAATAAAATTCTTAATAGGAATGATGATATAGTTCCAAAGAAAACAACCCTGTTAAGCAGGAAATTGGACACTGTGCAAGATCAGGTGCTAAATAATATACAAGGATGTTTAGATGAGCAAGTCTTCAATGTTGGTTCGACTGGATAGGGAGAATTTTTTTTGACAGAGAAAAGACTTATGGTGAACTCCCTGGAATAATTAGGAAAATTCAAAAGTCTGTAACAGGGAAGCACAGTAAAAATTAAATTTTAGAGTGGTGAAAAGTCTTATTTATTTGAGGTTTTATATAAAGATCTCTTGTTTAATGAAGGATTCCAGTCACCAAACTTGAATATAACTTGAATATAACGTTGTCAATTTGAACATTTTCATATAAGCAATAGTTGCTCTGAAATTTTTGTGATAAAACAGTTTTTAAATGATTAACTGAAAAAAATTTTTTTCCTTGAAAATCCAGAAAGGACACAGGGAACAGAGGAATAATATGATGTTTCTTTTAACTTATTTTCTAAAAATGAAGAGAGAGATGTTAGAATCAAAAAAACCAATGAATCCCAAGAGACGAGCCATAGCTCTAACAGAAAAACACATAGAAAAGCCAATCTTTCTATATAATGAAATTGACTTTTTTCCACTGGAATGTGCATATTTCAATGTGAGTATAAGCCAGATGGCAGCAGCCTTTGTTCTAACAGAGTCTAATGATAGATTATACATATAAAATATGTCACAATTACACACTCACACATCTTCCTTCAGATAGCAGTAAAGAACTGCTACTGACAATTTCAAGATCATTTATCTCCTCTACAGAACCATTTTGATCTTCCCCCTTACTCACTACAGTATCAAACAAAACTAATGTTCCCAGTACATACATGGTTCTGTATAGTGAAGATAAAGAAGCTAGCTAACTTCTATTAATCACTATTCTACTAGTGGATGTTGGAAGAATTGAATGTCAAATATGAGTTACTAAATTCTTATTAACTAATTAATTTACTTTCATATTTATAAACATATTCAGTACTTCCATTGATATAATGTGTCCTCTAAAACATAAAACCATTCTGAGAACTATGGAAGATTACTTTAAGTCAGTCATCTTCAACCCTTCATCAGCTCTCACATCAGTCTTCCTAACACTGTCTATTTTTCAAGTGTACATTTTTCTTTTTTCAATTTTTATTGGAAGTATGCATATAACTTTAAAATTACTGACACTAAGAAATAGTGTACAAGGTGAAGTATAAATCTCTATCCGTCTCAAAAATCTATTTCAAAACATAGCCACCATTACTGAATTTGCATGTGTATTTTTTTTCAGAAAGAATACCTCTCTTCCACCCTTTTTTTCTCCCTCCCTCACTCTTTCTAGGGTATATAGGTGATGCTAAATACACTATTCATAATGGTAGGATAGTATTCCTATATATACTGTTACATAAGATAGAAGAGTATTCCAAAGTGCATACCCCGTTTTTGTTTAATCAGTTTGTCTTTAATCATTTTCCAATGCAAGCATCTGTCACAATGAATATTTTCATATATATAATTTCATACATTTTACTTTGGTATACCTTCAGGCTACTTTCTTGAAAAGTAATTGTTCTAATATATATATATATATATATATATATATATATATATATGTGTAGATTTTGGTAGATACGCTCTATTGGTCCTTCGAAGAGGATGTTTAATATATAGTTCTATCAAAAACATCAGTGTGTGCACAAAGAATTGCAAGCGGTGAAGAAGAAAACTGTCTATTTTATAGAGAGCTTTCTGTTTTGCTTCCAAGATCATATTTCAAAGACTGTAAGTAATTAATTAAATCTATAACTCAGTAAATTAATCTCAATCACTACATTATATGTTTGATTGCTGCAATTCCAAATGTATCACACTGGTCGGAGACCCAAACTATACAGTTACTCAGATCAGTCATTGAAAATAGAAAAAATGGTAAATGATGGCTCACTTTATCCCTCTAGGAGAAACTTTTACTATACTCCTTTTTAGAGATAAACAGGTTATATAATTTGAATTTTAAAGACTTTTAAGACATATATTCTTTAATTGCAGTCTAAAAATAGGTCATTCGCTGTTAGTCTGTACAGATTTCATACCTACTGGTATCACAAAAGTAATGTATTATATCTAAGTTTAGAGGATTCAAATCTAGCAAGAAAATTCTATAATCTTAACTCATCAGTTAGGCTAACAAAAAGAAATGAAAGATCTACTGGCTTAAGATTTCTTGGATGCTGCCAATCAATACTATTAAAACCTCACAATTATCACCAAAGAATTTCCTTGTTTATAATCCACACTAAATTGCTTCATGAAGGGCTATAATTCTTGACATTTTAATACACTAGGATATCACACAGTAATAAATCAATACAGTTAGCTATTTTAAGAAATACATTTAAATGAAAAATCTGCTGTCTATGCCTTGATCTTAAATTATAATACACAAGTTTCAAATTATGACCACTCATCATTACCAAATATGTTTTCAGACAAATATGTGGATTTATGATAATAACAAGTTCGTGAAATACTTTTAATACCACAAAAGTCTGGAGAAATATTTTTAGCTTTTCACAATCAACTCTATCAAAAACTTTAATCTACTATTAATAGCCTAATTCAGTTGAAACCTATTTGATCAACAATTTCATTTTCTGGTGTCAAAACGTGTCTATGTAACCACTTTTTGTACTTGAGAGTATTGTTTGAAAGCATGTCTGCACATCATATGACTAGATGTTGCTTAGTGTAGCCCAAAACATGGATATGCTTGTTCTTGTCAATAAAAAATATTGGCTCAAATTTGATCACTGTTAGAAGATTCATTGTATCTTTTCAAGGAAGCAGCCGACATTCAATGCAGAGAGAATTATTCTTATTTATAAATGAGGCTTTTCCTTGTTTCTAAGATGATTTCCCTGCTGCATTCTTTTATTTGGGTCTTTTCCTGGCACAGAGGTCTTATCAAAATTCATTTTCCTCCAGAGCAGTTTCTAGGGCCACCTAGTGGTAAAAGGCAATGGTGGCTTCACAAGGCAGCCTTAATGCTGAGTTAATGACAGGAAGTTTTCATCATTTAACCAATGGAAACACAAGAGGTAATCTGGAATATCAGTGTGTTTCAAACACATCTGTAAACAACTAATTCAACAGGTATCATTTGGCAAAATTAGTTCACTAAATATTTCAAACAACAATCATATAAAATCAGAAACTAAACTTTGAATTCAGTTGTGAAGATTTAAGGACTAAAACAAAGTAGTCATACTTCAGCTATTTTGAGTAGTCCAATAATTAATTTGAAAATTGCATGATCTTTCAGAACTTCTTTAGAGTTCATCAACATTGAATACCATGTTTCTGATACTATTAAGCATTTACATAACAAAGGATTCTACCTGTGGTTAATACATATTCGTAAAATTTCATATTGCATTTTTAATTTCGAAAGTATAAAAGCATCCCCTAAAATGTTTGTATCCTACTAGAAGATAATGACCAAGAGGAAAATACAGAAACAATCCTTCTGGGTGTGAAGTCTAAGTTGTGTGTGTCTGTAATAATATAGCTGTAGCCAATGGCTAGCATTCCTAGGCCAAAGGTTTCTAAATTTATCAGCAATTTCTACTGTAAGATTTTAGCTTCATCATTGCATATTACAAATTACTTTTCTCCCTCTTCCTTGCACCAGATTCAAAGGTAAACAAAATTGTTTCCAAATAAAGCATCTATGGCTTAGCTAAAATATTTGCACAAGAGATTCGGAGGAAATTTACAAAACTGTTGCAAAACCTCAGGAGACTGAAGTGGTCACCACCTCTAGATAAACTCTTCCAATTCAACATACAAGTGCATAGATTAACTGGAAAGATGTGTTTCTGTGGCTGTAAAAACTACTCTCAAAACCTCTATTAATAGGTAATCATATAATCAGGATTCTATAACCACAGGATCAAATCAGTAAAAATGACGTCATATCCATTACTTTTAAGATACTTAATTCCAAAATAAAACGATAAAACGTATTTCCGTGGTGAAACTACAGTTGTCAAAAGAGCAGGCACAGGGGCACGAAGTCTACTCCGGGATCAACTTTTCTTCTACGCCTGGGCTGGGCTGCAGGTCTAACATCACAAACACTGAAAACCTGTCTTTTGAACGTGAAGACCCCCTTTGGGGAGGAAGGCATCGGCTTTCACGGAGAGATCCGGGAATACTTACTGTAGTGACGACACTAGTGGAGTTTAGCAGGTGGCTCTTCAGCAAACTGGCTTTCTATCGACACTGCTTGTATCCAGGGGCTTCCCGGCTTTATAGTGCACACCAAATTATTCACATTCTTTCCAAAAAGTCGTTCACAGTTCCTGGTATTACCCGCACACACCTATAAAACGTAATTCAAAAATTTTTTTTAAAAAGTAGCGCCCCTGTTTGCAGCTCGGATGAGCCACTCCCTCTTCCAGGGTCCTCTCCAGCGTGTACCTGAGGCAGCAGCCAGGGCTGCGTTCCACTGAAAGACAGGAGGCAGGCAGGCGAGCTGACCAGGGCTGACCTCGGCCGCCCCTGACCACCACCGAGCCCGGCACCGGCGGGGCCCTCACCACTCCTCTCTCTCTCTCTCCGTCTGAGGACTGCACAGTGCCACGCTCGCATCACGCACACCGTGCAAGACTCCTCCATCTCCCCCGAATGTGCCATCCGCGCGGGGGCTCCGGCGGCGCCGCCGGAGCCGAAGGACGTCTCCGCCCGCGGCTGCCATCTATCGGCCACCGCGCGCCCGCTTCGCCCCGGGCCCATCATGTCTGCTGCAGCTTGGCTCGCACCAGAGGCGCGACAATAAACAAGTGCACCGGACGGGGCCCTGCACCCGCTTCGGAGCAGACGCCTCAGGGATCCCCGGCCATGCTTACCGCGCTGCCAGCCCCTCGGCGCCGGCTCCGGGGAAGACGCGACTTTCTCTGAGGAGTTTTTTTTTTTTTTTTTTAGAACCTCCGGGCGGCCAGGACACGCCACAGGCGTAGAACAACGCTGTCCCTGCCCCCTCCCTCCCCAGGCACCCCAAAGGATGTCGGAGATAAAGAGTTCCGAATAATGACGACCGGGCGCCGCAGCTAGGGAAGGGACAGAGGAATAATAATTTTTTAAAAAGGAAAAAACAACAAAAAAGCCTGCAAGCGCCTGGAGCAATGAAACCGTCAAGAGAATGCGGGAGCGGTTCGAATTCTAACTAGGGGGCCGCGGCCGCGGCTCGGCGAGAGGGAAAGCGGCGGCGGGATCCCAGCGCGGTGGTCGCCGCCGCGCGGGGGGCGGAGGACAGCGCAGCAGCCGCAGCCGCCGCCGCCGCCGCCGCGGGAGCAGCTGAGGGGCCGGTGCCACCTTCGCTCGCCCCCTCACTACCATGTACAGCGTGCGCTGCAAGAAGAAGGCGGGCGATGCATGCACACCCTCCTCGCGCCCCGCTCCCTCTGGCTCGGCCCCGGGCGTGCGCCACTGACCAGGGGGGAATGTGGTGAAGACGGCGAGGAGGAGAGCGCAGGGGGGGAGGGGAGGGCTGGCTGGCCGGCCGGCAGGCGCGAACCCAGGCCGGAGGGTGCGTGGAGCCCCAGGCGGCTGGAGGGGGCGGCGGCGGCGGCCACTGCTGGCCTGGAGAAAGTTGCCCCCCTCTGCAGATGGGAACTGTAAGTACCCGCCCGATGGGGGTGGGAGTTAGGGGCTGAGGGGGTGCAGCCGAGGGTGCCGGGGACCCCGCGGTCGCGCAGAGGCGAGGGTGGGCGCCTGGGTGCGAGCGGTCTCGAGCGCTCGGCCAGCCCGGCCGTCACGTTGGCAGGGCCGGCGGGGCCAGGCTGCCCTGTCGGCGTCCCCCTCCTCCCGCTCCGCGCCTCCCCTCCCGGCAGCTTCTCCCCCTCCGCACCCCGCCCGGCTTCAGCTCCCAGCCCCTACCGCGAGGCGCCTCTTCAGCCGGTCCTCCGCCGCCCCCTCCCCCTCCCTTCCCATCCCACCGCTCGCGATCGCCCCCCGCGCTCCCTCCCCGCACCCCCCCAACCCCGCTGCCCGCTCCGACTACCGCGGAGAGCGCCGGGGAGAGCCGTTGGGGGAGCCCCGGAACCCGCGGTCGCCACCGCGGCGGCGGCCCCCGGGGCTGGCGGCGTCCGGGCGCCTCTTGGGCTCCACCGCCGGGACCGCACTGCTCGCCGCCTGCTCGCCCAGCCTGGGCTTCAGAAAGCCAGAGCACACCCCGAAGAGGTATTTTTTTTTAAGGGTGGCTATCATGAGTGGGCCCCGGAGACGTGAGACGGGGTAAGTCTGCCGTTTACTTTGCAAAAGAGGCTCGCGTGTGTCTGTGCGTGCGGCGGGGTGGCTTGCTTCCCCTCTCCTCCCTCCCCTCCTGCCTCCCTTTTCCCTTCCTTCTCTTTGGGGCGGGGTGGGGGAGGGGAGCCTCGCGTCCTGGAACTCCGGGTGCTTCTGCCTGGGCGGCCGTTGGAGCAGCTGTGCCGCGAGCCGCGGGTCCGGCCTGGGTGTGTGGCTATAGCCCGAGCGGCCCCAAGCTGCTCCGTGCAGCGCTGTGCAGGGCGGAGATCCGGGGTCTGAATTCTTTGGGGGAGAACAGATACAGTCCCCCGCCCCCGCTCTCTAGAAAAAAAAAAAAAAAGAGAGAGAGCGAAAGAGAGGAGGGAAAAAATGATCCTTTGAGAAGGTAGAGCGCACCCGCGAATTTACATCGCAGGTGCTTTTCCCAGTCAGCATGTCAGCCTTCCCCGGCTCATTCAACTTTATTTTCTCAAATATTCGTTCTCCTTTGATGGCAAGGAGGAGGGGAAAGGGAGTGGGGTGAGAGGGGAAGCTCTGCAACCCAGGCGAACCAGAACTGAATTAAAGTTGTAAACGCCGGAGTTGCACGCTGGCTGGACACAATTTGCAATGGGTTCTCAGCTGGAGTTGGGGGGTGAGTGGGGGCGGGGAGCACGGGCAGGGCGGGGGAGGGCGCCCCGCGCTGCTGAATGGCTGTGCAGATTGGAGCCAGTGGAGAAACGAAATTCTAAGGTAAACGTTTCGCTTTCCTCGGGGCTGGTGTTGCGGCTTTGAAGCCGGGAGCTGTCGACCGCTGCGCGGGGAGGTCGGGGATGCCTCCGGGGAGGTGTTCACACGGTGGTCCCCATCGGTCTGGACCGCACGTGAGGGGCTCTTGGGCACCCGTGCGCTCTTGGCGTGGTGAAGGGCAGCGCTGCCCAACACGCGGATCTGGGCGACCCAGAGCGCGGTCTCCAGGCTCGAACCCGTGTCTCTCGGAAGCGACTCGGTTTCCGTGTGGGCTTTACGGTTCCACATCAGACGTCGGTGGCCATGAAGAAGGCGAGGCTGGCTAGAGAATAGGCAGTGGCTCCCAGAACCCGGCGTCTCCATCAAATGCCAGCCGCCCCCCCCCAGCCTCCACCCCCACTCCCCCAGCCCGCACGCGGCCCCGCTCGCCAACGCACCCGCACTCACACGCACACACTCGCTCCATGTAGGTCCCTCCTTTGAGAGTGGTGCTGTCGACCACAAGTGGAAGGCAGCTTGCTAGGGGACAAAAAAGAAAAAAGGGGAGGGGGTGTCATATGGGTTCCTTGGAGGGGGGCAGGGGAGGTGAAATTCGGATATTAAAGCTCTGACCCATGCACTTACTGTTCTCCACCCTCTGCTTTGCCTCCTAATCAGTCCAGCCGCCCTTTCCCTGATGGAAAAAAAAAAGTGGGGGGGGGGGGGCAGCATTGACAATTAAATGTAATAAGCAACTCCAAAGATGGGAGTGCTGGCGAGGTGGTTCTCAGTCCCGATGCTGTGAATTCCTAGGGTTAGCTTTGCATACCGTGAGAAACAGGAGCGGGGCCGAGGTGAGGTAGGCTTTGGCGCCGGTCCTCGGTTTACTTTGAGCTGATTCCGGGTAAATGCTAGGAGCGTCCTCTTGCAACTCAAGGTAACGGCGGTGTTCCGAGACTGCAGATTTCCTTCGCCGAGTTCTTTTTGTAATCCACCGTGCAGAAGCGTTTCAGTGGCTTAAAGATGCAGTTTGCTGGCGTCGCTGACATGATCAATGAGGAGAAGTCGTCGCAGGGCGCTCTCGGGGAAGCGCTGCTAAGTGGCACCGTGCGAGCAATTAGGACGCTGATGTGCTTAATAGCGTGGTAGTGAGGTCCACCATCAAAGCGAACGCCCTCTTCCTCTTCTTTTTTTCTTCCTCCTTACTCAAAGCTTCCGAAGACAATTGGTGATTTAAGAGCTGCTTCTGGCTCCTTTTCAATGCATTCTCGTGCATCCTTTTCTGCCTGGAAAAGTATTCTTTAGGTTGCCACCCTGGCATTTCTGGGCGATGATCTGAAAATAACCCAGGTATTCTGGCTCCTTGCCTTCAATTCTGTGAAGATGGGAGACCTCCATGGTGAACTGTTAACTGAAGAGGTTCCGAAAGAAAGGAGTTGGGGAAGGTGGGGGTGAAGGCTGGATCTAGGTGAGGGGAGCCTTGTAAAATGGTGCTTCTTTTCTCTTAAATTAGAACCATGAGACTGAACTGACAGCCATTTTATGTATATTTATGGGTTGGTTTTGAAAGGGGGGGGGCAGTGGAGGCAAACACCAACGTGGGACTTTATCTGCCCTGATATTGTAAGGAGCCGCACATTTGCAGCGTGCTTATTAGAAAAAAATGGAATCAACCTTTAAATCAAAATGAGTATCAGATTTTAATAAAGTCTGGAGAATGTGGCTGATCCACTGGGAGATGGCGGGGAGGGCTGTCATTCACCGGCCCTCCTGGGTTTCAGAGAAAATCCTACCGAGAGAGAGACTTGTAATCCCTTAAAATTTTGTCATGTTCTGTTGTTTCCTTGTTCCCTCTCTCCCTTGCAGGAGGTAAAATGCACACTTGCTGCCCCCCAGTAACTTTGGAGCAGGACCTTCACAGAAAAATGCATAGCTGGATGCTGCAGACTCTAGCGTTTGCTGTAACATCTCTCGTCCTCTCGTGTGCAGAAACCATCGATTATTATGGGGAAATCTGTGACAATGCATGTCCTTGTGAGGAAAAGGACGGCGTTTTAACTGTGAGCTGTGAGAACCGGGGGATCATCAGTCTCTCTGAAATCAGCCCTCCACGTTTCCCAGTCTACCACCTCTTGCTGTCTGGAAACCTTTTGAACCGTCTCTATCCCAATGAGTTTGTCAATTACACCGGGGCTTCAATTCTGCACCTGGGGAGCAATGTTATCCAGGACATTGAGACTGGGGCTTTCCATGGGCTGCGGGGTTTGAGGAGGCTGCATCTGAACAACAACAAACTGGAACTTCTGCGGGATGACACGTTCCTTGGCTTGGAGAACCTGGAGTACCTACAGGTCGATTACAACTACATCAGCATCATTGAGCCCAGTGCTTTTGCGAAGCTGCATTTGTTGCAGGTGCTCATCCTCAATGACAATCTCTTGTCCAGTTTACCCAACAATCTTTTCCGTTTTGTGCCCTTAACGCACTTGGACCTGCGGGGGAACCGGCTGAAACTGCTGCCCTACGTGGGGCTGTTGCAGCACATGGATAAAGTCGTGGAGTTACAGCTGGAGGAAAACCCCTGGAATTGCTCCTGTGAGCTGATCTCCCTCAAGGATTGGTTGGACAGCATCTCCTACTCGGCCCTGGTGGGGGATGTGGTTTGTGAGACCCCCTTCCGCTTGCACGGCAGGGACTTGGATGAGGTATCCAAGCAGGAGCTTTGCCCCAGGAAACTTATTTCCGACTACGAGATGAGGCCGCAGACGCCTTTGAGCACCACGGGGTACTTGCACACCACCCCGGCCTCGGTGAACTCGGTGGCCACCTCCTCCTCTGCTGTTTACAAACCCCCTTTGAAGCCCCCTAAGGGGACCCGCCAGCCCAACAAGCCCAGGGTGCGCCCCACTTCTAGGCAGCCCTCCAAGGACTTGGGCTATGGCAACTACGGCCCCAGCATAGCCTACCAGACCAAATCCCCGGTGCCTTTGGAGTGTCCCACCGCGTGCACTTGCAACCTGCAGATCTCGGATCTCGGCCTCAACGTGAACTGCCAGGAGCGCAAGATCGAGAGCATCGCCGAGTTGCAGCCCAAGCCCTATAATCCCAAGAAAATGTACCTGACGGAGAACTACATCGCCGTCGTGCGCAGGACAGACTTCTTGGAGGCCACGGGGCTGGACCTCCTGCACCTGGGCAACAACCGCATCTCGGTGATCCAGGACCGCGCCTTCGGGGACCTTGCCAACCTGCGGCGCCTCTACCTGAACGGCAACCGGATCGAGAGGCTGAGCCCGGAGCTGTTCTTCGGCCTGCAGAGCCTGCAGTATCTCTTCCTCCAGTACAATCTCATCCGCGAGATCCAGGCCGGCACCTTCGACCCGGTGCCGAACCTGCAGCTGCTCTTCCTGAACAACAACCTCCTGCAGGCCATGCCCTCGGGCGTCTTCTCGGGCCTCACCCTCCTGCGGCTGAACCTGCGGAGCAACCACTTCGCCTCCCTGCCCGTGAGCGGAGTCCTGGACCAGCTCAAGTCGCTCATCCAGATCGACCTGCACGACAACCCCTGGGATTGCACCTGCGACGTGGTGGGCTTGAAGCTGTGGGTCGAGCAGCTCAAGGCCGGCGTCCTCGTGGACGAGGTCATCTGCAAGGCGCCCAAGAAGTTCGCAGAGACGGACATGCGCGCCATCAAATCGGAGCTGCTGTGCCCGGACCACTCGGACGTGGTGGTCTCCACGCCCACGCCCTCCTCCATCCAGGGGCCCGCGAGGACCGGCGCGGTGACCACGCCCGCCGTGCGTTTCAACGGCACCGGGGCGCCCGCGGGCTTGGGTGCGGGCGGAGGGGCGTCGTCGGTGCCCTTGTCCGTGCTCATCCTCAGCCTGCTGCTGGTCTTCATCATGTCCGTCTTCGTGGCCGCCGGGCTCTTCGTGCTGGTCATGAAGCGCCGGAAGAAGAGCCAGAGCGACCACACCAGCACCAACAACTCGGACGTGAGCTCCTTCAACATGCAGTACAGCGTGTACGGCGGCGGCGGGGCCGGCGGCGGCGGCGCGGGCGGCCACCCCCACGCGCACGTGCACCACCGCGGCCCGGCGCTGCCCAAGGTGAAGACGCCCGCGGGCCACGTGTACGAGTACATCCCGCACCCTCTGGGCCACATGTGCAAAAACCCCATCTACCGCTCGCGGGAGGGCAACTCGGTGGAGGATTACAAAGACTTGCACGAGCTCAAGGTCACCTACGGCGGCAACCACCACCTGCAGCAGCCGCCGCCGCCGCCGCCGCCGCCGCTGCTGCCCCAGCCGCAGTCGCAGCCGCAGCCGCAGCCCCCGCCCCCGCCGCAGCTGCAGCTGCAGCCGGGGGACGAGGAGAGGCGGGAAAGCCACCACTTGCGGAGCCCCGCCTACAGCGTCAGCACCATCGAGCCCCGGGAGGACCTGCTGTCGCCGGTGCAGGACGCCGACCGCTTTTACAGGGGCATTTTAGAACCAGAGAAACACTGCTCCACCACCCCCGCCGGCAACAGCCTCCCGGAATATCCCAAATTCCCGTGCAGCCCGGCTGCGTACACCTTCTCCCCCAACTATGACTTGCGGCGGCCCCACCAGTATTTGCACCCGGGGGCGGGGGACAGCCGGCTGCGGGAACCGGTGCTCTACAGCCCCCCGAGTGCTGTCTTTGTAGAACCCAACCGGAACGAGTATCTGGAGTTAAAAGCAAAACTAAACGTTGAGCCGGACTACCTCGAAGTGCTGGAAAAACAGACCACATTCAGCCAGTTCTAACGAACAAGCAAAGAAACTCCCACCCCGCCCCCCGCCCCCCGTCCCCCGTCCCCCACCCCCTTCTCGGAGCGCTTTGCGTTGCAACAGAACAAACGCGACAAAACAAAACGCGAGCAAGCGAGCAAAGCAGACGCGCGCACGGTGCACACGCGTGATGAGCCGTGCCGTCTCAACGTTTAGGGCGAAGTGCCTTGGCACAGGGTTCTCAGCTTCGGCGGAAGATAACTGAAAGGGTGTGCAGTTTGGTTTTTTTTTTTTTTTTTTCCTTTTCGTTTTACACGCGGGAAACATTTGTGTAAGTTGGGTCCGTCACGTTTTCTCTTGCTGCGTGGGCGGGAGGAGAGGGTCGCGGTCGTGTTGGAGGTGCGTTAGCGAGGTGGACGGTGGCAGCGCGCAGATCCTCCTCTTTCTCTCCCTTTGCCGCACCGCACCACGCCCCACTCCACTTCCACCCCCTCCCCCCATTCTCCTCCTCTAAGCCTTGGGTGGGTCTACATGGCTTTGGCGGAGAGATTAGCACACCCCAACTTTAACAGGAAGTTTGTTCTCTCTCTCTCTCTCTCCCCCCTCCCCTTCCTCCTCCTCCCGGCTCATTCCTCTCCTTTGTTTTTAAAGGATGTGTTTGTATGCATTCTGGACATTTGAATTTAAAAACAAAACAAAACAACGAAAAACAACAAAAAAATTGTGATCCTGAAAAGGATCACTATAGATGTGGACAAATCATTAAAATTTACAGAGCTATATGATCCATAATTGATTAGTCAAAATAACTTATTGATGAAATATACAAATATTTTATTGTAGCACCTATTTTTATATGCACATTTAGCATTCCTCTTTCCTTCACTATTTAGCCTATGGTTTTTTTTTTGCAGAGGTGTCGCATTGTATTAGGAGCTGCATTTCCAAAACCCGAGTGATACCAGAAAGGCATTTTAAATCATTAAAAATGTGGAGCTGTTAATGGCAAAATCGTTAAAAGCCAATGCAACCCACCCCAATTGGATCTGTAATTTAAAAATTAAAACAAAACAAGGCTGATTGTATCCTAATGTATAAAGGGAAAAAAATAGGGCAATTATTCGGGCCATTCCAGTGAGAATTGTGTGCAAGTTTTTGGTTTTATTAGAGAAGACTTCAAAGTATTTTTATTAGTGAACCAAAATGATGTGTTGATTTGACTACTATTGTAGCCGAGTTTCTGATTGTTTAACCAAACCCAGTCGCATTTGTACAGATCCACGTGTACTGGCACCTCAGAAGACCAAATGATGGACTGTACAAGTCTCTCTATACAATGTGGTTATCCCTCTGGGCAGCAAGCAGTGATGCTAAGGACAAACAGGATCTCTGTAAGATGGGGCTACTGTTGTTACAGTCTCATATGTATCCCAGCACATGTAATTTTTTTAAATAGTTTCTGAATAAACACTTGATAACTATGTCAAATATGAGGGATTGAAGTAATGATTACTCAAAGTGTAAAAGTTTTAGCTTTGTGTGATTGATGGGATTCCAGTTATTAACAATTTAGGAACTAGGAGCTAAACTGTATTCCTAATAGAAAAAGATCTCCCCCATTTATAAAAAATCTTAAAATGTACATATGTCTAATTTATGCCTTTATTGGTTCAGGGAAGTATATTTTTTTCTGAATGCATCACGCAACGTGTTTATTAATGATATTTTAACTGTATACGTTGCTTCCCTACTGAAGTATTCATCTGATACACGGAGCATGGTAAGTGATATATTGCACATTCGCTTTTCTCTCAGTATTATGTATTTTGTCATGTCAGTGTTATTTATTCAGCCTGTACTTTTCCATAACTTCCATATCTTAACTTGTGTCAAACTACCTTCAACAAGTATGATGGATACATTATCTGAGG